TCTTAGCCTGTTTGGTTCAGTGTATAGAGTGTCAGCCTGCGGACCAATAGGTCCCGGTTCGATTCCGGTCAAGGGCATGTACCTCAGTAGCAGGCTCCTCCCCGGCCCTGGTCGGGGTGAGTGCAGATGCCAACCAGTCAATGTGTGTCTCTCACATCGATATTTCTGTCTTTCTCTCTTCCCCTCTCTCTAAAAATCAATGGAAAATATTCTCAGGTGAGGATTAAAAAAATAAATTAAAAAAATTAAAGGAGATGCTCTTTATAAAAAGAAAAAGCTTACCATGTTGCCTGGCCAGGGTAGCTCAGTGGTTGAACATCAACCCATGAACCAAGAGGTCACCAGGTTCAATTCCTGATCAGGGCACATGCCCGGGTTTCAGGCTCGATCCCCAGTAGGGGTGCACAAGCAGCAGCCGATCAATGTTTCTCTCATCCATGTCTCTATCTCTCTATCCCTCTCCCTTCCCCTCTCTCTAAAATCAATAAAATACAAAAAATAAAAATAAAAAAGCTCTCCATGCCTATTGCTTCTGTTCACTTTCTGCCCTTCGTGATTTTTGGGGGATACTTTTCAGGGTGCCGTGTGCTGCCCCAAAACACAAGAGAGCAGGAAATAAATGTCACCAGGTTTGGCATGTGGCGGCAATTTGGGTGAGAGGTGGAGAGGACATAAACCAGACTGCAGGGTCTTAATGAGGGTGGTGTGAGCCTGGTGCCCAGAGGGACCCAGAGCTGGAGGAGAAAAGGGAACTTGCAGAGGCAGGAAGTGAGAAACTGTTCTGCCCCTCTTCCAGGGGATGCAGCTTACCCCACCGCCCATCTTCCCATCTCAGCCTCCAGGCCTCCGCAGAGCAACCTGAGGTGCAGGCCAGACAAGAGGGATGGGGAGACGGAAGAAGAAAACACAGGGAGCAGGATCCCAGATGTGGCAGAGGTGACACACTGCTCGGGAAGGAGCAAGCAGAGTGAGCACCTCAAGCACGACCCTTCTCGCACATCTTAGCTCCTCTCAGACATGGAGAATGCAAATCAGGCACGACAACTGAACTCTGTCCTTTGACCCGGCAGGGCCACAGCTGACCATGTGCCCTGGAGCAACATTTCAGTGGCATAAGGCCAAAACTCTTGTGATGGCTCCACGCGGACCCTGGCCATTTTCACTCCTATAGTCTCACAGGGATACAGGGGAGCCTTCATAATGCAGGATGATGCCACCATTCTGACGACCAAGGAAACGTGCACGCGTGAATTCTGACTTCTAATTTCCAATTTCTAACACATAAGAAACAATGGACATAACCCCAGCAGAAGCTCTTCGTGGTCCTCAATCACTTTGGAGGGTGGACAGGGGGCCTGAGACCAAACAGTCTGAGCACCCTGCCCTGGAAAAACTCCTGCAACCAAGTGCCCTGACACATTCCACAGCAATGCTGTTCCTGAGAATAAAACCTGGCTTCACCAACCCGGAGCCTGGATCAGAGCACAAGGTGATTGGCATACCACAGCCCTCGTGACAGTTCTGTCCCACACTTGGTTTTGTAAACAAAAGGTATTGTGACGCCTACTGAAACAGGTCCATTCGTTTACATACTGTCTATGGCTGCCTTCCTGCTCCAGTGGTGGAGGTGAGCCATCCCGAGAGAGACAAATATTTACTACCAGGTTCTTTACAGACAGAATCTGCTGACCCCCGGCTTAGAGGGCATGCCCTCTAGCTGGGAGCTCTCCATGGGAAAAGGGCCCTTCCATCAAGCAGCCGGAAGAACAAGGCTCTGCGAGGAACTGTCCTATTTGCTGCCTGACCCTGCCCTTCGGAAAGGCAGGCATCCCGGAAAGGCCACTACAGCAGAGACACTTGGTAGGTTTCTGTGACATGAGTGACCCTTGCAAGGCCATTCCCAGGATATCATTTCAACCGATCTTTCAGACTGACCTTAACAGAGCCTTGGAGCTCAGCAAGGCCGGGTTAGCTGTTTTCCTAAGTTAGCTACAAAACTACTAGGGGTGATTTTGTCCCCAAGAGGACACTTGGTGATGCTGGGGTCATTTGTGGTTATCACAACCAGGGGTGCTCCTAGCATTGAGTGGGTGGGGCCAGGGATGCTGCTCAACACGGCACAGCCCCCCACAGAGAAAGACCAAGCCCCTCACGGAGAATGACCGGCCCCCATGGCAGGGCCCCCCAGGGGGACGGGCCCTGAGCTGATTTATTGCACCTTTACTGTGAGCCAGACATGGGCTCATTCCTTCACATCCATTACCTCACTGCATTCTTACCATGCCACCATGCCGTGGGTCCACAATTAGCTCCGTCCGAACAGAGTCCATGGCCAAGCCGCTGGGACAGGGGACTTGGGAAGATCATGTAAAGCGCAAAGCCCTATACCTGAGCTTGTTCAAGGCTATGCCACAAATAACAGCTATTATTAATTTTATGGGCAGCAAAAAAACAGGCGCCAGATGCCTGTCTCCTTGCCCAGGCTGGGCCTGCCGCCGAGGTCCCTTCCCCCCATGCTCCCTGTATTTCCGCCAATCAAGCGACATAACCGCCAACCTATTCGGCCTAAATAAGCTGCCACAAAGCCCTCCCATATCCTGAAGAAAGACTCAGCTATGTTCTGCTTTATGGTCTCAGTCAACCTCCCTGCAGAACTTGGACTGCTTTGCCATATTTCTTTTAAGGGCGGGGAGATTGTGCAGACTCCCTAGAACGTTCTGGAAAACAACAGCTCTCCTGCACCCACTGGAAACTGCACCACTTCCTATCACTATTAGTCCAGTCTGTTTGCAGGCTTGACTTGCCTGGAGCCGCGGCTTGTGTGCTTTTGTCACCCACCCTCCCGTCGATGTCCACACCTCCGAGCCACCAGGCCGATTCCTGGCCAGACAACCTCGGGGAAATTGCATCAGGCTCTGAGGCCTCGCTCCCTTACCCGGAAGACAGAAACAACTGCACGTCCCTCACAAAGCTGCCTGCCGAGGAGCACAGCAGGAAGGAGAACTGGCCACACTGTGGTAACTATAAAAGCTGCACTGTGTGAAAGCAGCGTTAAGAGTCCTGTATCTCATCGCCAACAGCCTTAAGATTAAAGGCACTATGTGCGTGTCTAAGGCACCTTGGTGTTGCTGTCACCATGCTTTGTACTTACACAGAGGTCAGCAAGACTTCTGAATGGATCAAATATTGTATGATGAATGAAGGGAGATAGGGGTTTGGTTATGGGGGTATAGACATTTGTCAGAACTCCAAATGGTCTGCTTAAGACGTGCCTTGATATATACAAATTTTACCTAAAAAGACAGTGAGAACCCCAATAGTGAACTCTACTTAATGACAGGCATGCTGAGTGTTTAGGGATGATATGAACTATCGTCTGCAAACTTACTTTGAAATGCATCCCCAAAAATAAGACATATTGGTGGATGGATAGAGCAAGACAGAGCCGAGTGATAAAAGTGACTACACAAAATATCAGTGGTAAAACCTAGGGAGGTGTTCATGTGTTCGTGGGTCTTTCAACTTTTCTACATGTTTGCAATGTAAAAATTAAAATGAACAGTGTTTAAAAGAATATAAACCTACTGATGTTTTTTAAAAAAAAAAAAACGTGTTTGGCACACAACAGGCAAACAAACATACGTGCTTCCTTGAACTTTGTGAGGACTCCATTCAACCTGCCTTTGAACTACACCATGAACTGCTTAGTAGGCACATGCAAGGTTTTCAGAAAGGACCTCTGCTGAACAAATTGACTGAGTGGCAAAACACAATCAGTGTAGATGCCACCAAATGAGGCACTCTTAAGAGGCAGGAGATAGCAGCAGCCCAGAGGAACTCCACGCAAGCCCTGCCTTTTCTCAACACGAATGGGACTGCACAGTTACATCCCCAAGTTTGCAGGATCGGCTTTCCCACCCCAGGCAGGGCGGGTTAACTCAGATTCTTAAGACATTCAAGTCATCCTATCTCTCACAGGAAGGAGGCTAAAGGTCTTCCAGGGCGCTGCAAGCCCAAGAAATTAATCATCAGGTCTCATTTCAAGTAAGCACACAGGATCCTCCCAACCCCCAAAAATCATGCCCAGGCGCGGACACGGAGTGTTTATTTTTCAATCTAGACACCAGATGGCGGCAGGATCCAGTTCAAAACGCCACAACAACAAAGTCGGGCGCACAGCCCAACTGAAGACTTTTAATCCAATTCAATCGCTACAACCCTGACCCTACTCCAGGAGGGTCCCAGCAGACAGGACCAACGCTTCGTGCCACCATCTCCCACTCAGGGAAATTTCAGGCGTACATCCCCCAAGGACAACTACAAAACTGGAAACCTCCCCCAGTGCCACTGGAGAGACCGTCCCAACTGCGAGCCACCGCTAAAGCAGGGGTGGCCATTTTAACTGCTACCAGGGTCGGAGGACAGAGGAGCAAGGCCGCAGACCGCAGCACCAGCCCCTGGTCATCCGCAGCCCCTGCAGGCCCAGAGTGGCAGAAATTCCAGATTTGCGAGCACCGTCTCCCGCCTCTGAATAAGCTGGTCCAAATTTCTAGAAAACACCCCCTGGGGGTGGTCAAACTCAAAATAGGTGCGGGCTTGGGCCACCAGTGTGCGTTTCAAAGAACAACGCGGTCCCTTCCGCCCTAGTGTTTGAGTAAGGATTCTGGGCTCTTCCTTGAAATTCATCGGCTCTCCGTCAGCCACCTCCAACTTCTTTTCCTAGAAATTTTTTTGAGGGGCTTCAAAAACAATAAAAGGAAAAGGGAGTGTGAGAAACCCGAATGCTACAGATTCCAGTGCCAGCTGCCTGCCCAGTGTGTCAGTCTGTGAGTTGAGCCTTTGTTCCTGGCTCAGGCATGGGAGTTTTCTGTGGAGACATGAAGCGGGGCCGGATGGGGGGGGCGGGGGGCAGTCTGAATGTGCTGGTGGCGGAGGAGCAAAGCCTGGACGAGACCGGAACAAAGGTGCTGGGCGGCGGGCAGCCTGCAGGGCGGGCTTACCTGCTTGCCCCGGTAGAAGAGCCGCTGTCGGCCGGGCTCCACGTGGAACAGCTCCTGGATCTTCTCCCGCAGCTCTTCCACCTTGGTCAGCCTGGAGAGCGAGCCCACGCTGTGGGCCACCTTCCCGTCCATGGTGCGAACCTGGATCCACATGATGCCTGCTGGTGCTGCGAGAGCAGAGAGTGGATCCTCCGGTCAGCGCTGCCGCTGCCGCCCCCACCAGGCCCGTGCCACGCTTGGGTCATCCTGGCTTTGTCCAGTCTGCGGACACCCAAAAACTCCCCGAACGCCCTCTCGGACCCCCTAGTCCCCACAGACGGCCAGAGCTAGCCCGGGGCCAGGCAGAGTAAATTAAAGGAGTTAACGCGTAAATGACTAACACCAGGGTAGCGTTTAGGAGGAAGGGGAAATTAGGGAAGGCAAGCGGCCTCTGGAACTACTCAGTCCAACCCACACACCCGCTTCGGAGGAGAGACACCAACGTCCAGAGGAGGAAAGACACAGCCAAAAGCTGGAGGGTCGAGTTCGTTCATTCATTCATTCACTCAATTAATACTGACGCAAGAGGGAAACCCAAAAGTCCGGCGCAGGTCGGAACTTCAGAAGTCCCTGGGAACTCAACTAAGTGCAAAGGGGAAGAACCCCCCAGCCCCCACCCCGGAGACACGCGAAGCTCCGACCT